GGAAACTCTGCTAGAGACCTGGACTTCCATTAAATGCCACTCTCCAGCATTTTCCTCTCAGGGAGACTATACAAAAGTGGCATTAAACACCTTTCCACCAGTACAGAGATGGATCCACGAGACCTGAGTGTGACCAGCGCTGGAGGCCCCCATCACCAGTTCTCACCAGTGTGTTTACTCATGCAGAGCGGGACACCTGCCTCCCTTGCTGTGCTGTTACCCCTTCTGCTCACACCCTCATTTTCTGGGTACAGTCCCACCGTGTGTCCCAGGGATGAGGCCAGACAGTAAGGCAGCCACTGTGAGGTGTGTGAGGTAAAATTCATGGGGTCTTCCTCAGTATCCACGGGGCAGGGACTGCTCAGTGTCCCCCACCCCACAACAGGCCCCTCATGGTGTCTCTGTGCAAGGTCCCCTCACGTCAAGGTGGGTTCCCAGGGCTGGGACCTGCCCTGCGGCCTCTCATCCCTCAGCTTTCCCCAGGGGAGGCAGAAACCTCTCAGCATCCCCTCAGCTAACGAGGGTCCTTTATCATCCCCAGGCCAGAGACCCCTCAGCATCCCCTCAGCTCATGAGGGTCCTTTATGATCCCCAGGGGAGGCAGAGACCCCTCAGCGTCCCCTCAGCTAATGAGGGTCCTTTATGATCCCCAGGGGAGGCAGAGACCCCTCAGCATCCCCTCAGCTGACGAGGGTCTTTTATCATCCCCAGGCCAGAGACCCCTCAGCATCCCCTCAGCTCACGAGGGTCCTTTATGATCCCCAGGGGAGGCAGAGACCCCTCAGCATCCCCTCAGCTCACGAGGGTCCTTTATCATCCCCAGGCCAGAGACCCCTCAGTGTCCCCTCAGCTCACGAGGGCCCCTTGGCATCCCGGGGACAGGGACCCTTCCCTTTCCCCTCACTTTTCCCTCAGCCTGGGGCGGGGGTCGCGGCTCCGCGGCAGCCCCAGGACCCTCCAGCGATCCCCGCACTGAGGGGCCGGCAGTGAGAGGGGGGGTTGAGCCCCGCTCCGTCCCGCTCCACCCCGCTCGGGCTCGGACCCGCC